GGGGGAGAAAGGGGCTAAGGTCCCAACAGGTTCCAATGAACCTCAAAAATACTTTGACCGCTGTGGTCACCTTGTGCCCTGCCGAAGCGGCTGGCTGCTTTGACCGCTGCGGTCACGTAAAGGCATAAGCCAGCTTGGAATTCCCAAAACTGTCCGCTGCGGACACGTACATCTCCGGGCAGGGGAGATAACGACGTACACCCGTTCAACGGGTCCACGGGAGGCACTCTGCGGGCTCATCCCGGGTTGGCACGAGGCCAAACACACTTAGGATAGGGTGTACTGAACTGAAAGCGGTGCCACACGCCGGCCTAGGTTACCAATTCCTAAGAGTACAGGTCAGGAAACCTGAAAAGGAAGTGGAGGTCCATCAAGTTCAGCGTGGCCATCAACTCTAAAGGAACCGTCGAACGACCGAGCGACAGAGTGACGTCGTCCGAAACCAAAGCCCTATGCGTGACTGCCGAGAGCAAACCGGTGCAAAGGCTGGATTTCTTGTTTTAGGTACAAGCAGGCCCGGAGATTGGAGTAATTATCACAGCAGGTACAGGAAACTGGCCAAGTTTCCCTTCCCACTCTCGCCCACAGCTTCATTGCGTGTGGTAGGACGAGAGTGCCACACGCCCCTGCTACACAAGGAAAACAACTGTGAAGCTAAAACAATCCGAAAGGATCCCTATGATTCCAAGGGTTACACCCACACACACACACACCTCCCCTTCACCCCTACGAACACTATTTCAACATCAGAGACGCACATCTCTCAGAGTTCCAACTACTTTTCGCGTCCCGTTGTGCCCTCTTTCCTATCATCGAGATGAACTCCACCCCTAGTAGAAGACGGTTTACATTGCCTCCTGAGCCCCTGATGATGCTAATGATGCACTACTCGCCGTCAATTACATCACTTGCATCACAACACCTCAAAAACCACTCATTTTCACTGCCTCCTGGCCACCTCTTTTCTTCGCTCTCCCAACCAGGCTCTGAGTTAGCCCTCCGAAACTGGCCCGTGTGCGACCACCCCCCCCCCACACCCCCTTAACTCACTTCGTTCGCCCAACCCAACTTCAGCCTAGCCTATCGGCTGGCTTTCGTGACATAATTTACATAAATATCCAAATGGACAGTGCCCACAACTCCTCCCTTGAGGAAATCACTAACTTTGGGGGGTCTTGAGAAACCATAGACCTGCTGAACAGCAAAAAGCACAAGTGCTAAGCCTGCACAACATCCTCACCCACTGCGGATCTGAGTGTCAAACACAGCACGGAGGTGAGAGTATGCACCACCGGTAGACGAGGTGATGCAGGTGCGATTTCAGGATCCAAATCCTGGACAAATCCATCTCACTCAAACGCTTTGGATTTGTCTTTGGAATCGCTGGATGAGCGCAGAACACTTCTCATGGGTCCCGCCTCACACACGAAGAAGTGCAAGTCATCGTCAAAAAAGCCTCAGGGCATGCATCCAATGGTGAAGACATAGATCCTTCTCTTCGACCAGCAAAAATTACTGACATTTGTTCACATGGACGTCCTTGCAACAGAGCAAAACAAAGCAGGGAATAGATGGAAACAGTCAGCAGGAAGCTACTAGGGGCTTGTGGCATCGCTACTAGTAACAAAGGGCATCGCTACTAGGGGCTCCTGGCCTTACTATTATAGTAACAAGAAGGCTACTAGTAACAAGGACGCTATGAAGTGGCACCAGCTTCACATGCTTCAGGACTCCCACCGGCTCCGTATGGCAAGCGTGGCCTTGGTAGACAGCAGGTCGAGCGATCGCCCTATGAGATCGTGGGCCGCCTGGTTGTGGGTCAAGTTTACCTTGTTCCTTCATGTTCCTTCCAAAATGGGCCTCAACTGATCTCTTGGGTCAATCGATGTGTTGAAGTTGTTGAAAGTGCCACCATACTGAAAATCCCTGCCCATCACCAGCTTGCAACTTATCGATCGTAGCACCTCTTGGCGCTTGGAGAATCTGACGCGTTGCAGTCCACTTCAGAAACTCCACTTCCGGAGGTCCGCAGGCAGGTCACGAAACTATGCATCCACTTCTTCACATCTACTTACTCACACCAAAGGTCACTTCTCCCTTCAAACGGAACCGAACAACTCTCCGCAAGCGTAACGTCTTCGGCTTCGAACGTAACGTCTTAAGCGCCCGCATCCGTCGCGCCGTAGGTCTCCCCGACGCGGACACCGCGTCTGCCGTTCCACCAAAGGATCGGTATAACTCGGCCCTCGATCGCAGCGAACACTCCGTCCAGCCGGAATTCGAAAGATCAAACGGTGATGCTCGGTGTCCCAACTGGTCCAAAAGGCAGAACAAAAGGTTGAAATAAATTATGAAATTCATGAAATGTCCGAACATCTGTCAGTATATAGGAACAAAATGGAGCTGTCCTGAATCTTAAATGTCGAAAAAAAATCATCAAACATCATCAAACATCAAACAGCTCCACGGCCTGCTGCTAAAGGCTTCGCAAGCGGTGCGAGCGTATTGCCTCGGTGGCCCATCAAAAGGAGACGGCCAAAACACCGAGCTGAAGAATACGTCCCCGTTGTCCAACTGCCTTTGACCCCCATGAGATTGAGGATTGTCTTGAAATCTTTCGGTGGGTTGGAAGCACCCCTGGTCATCGTGTTTAGACCATGCACACAATATGGTGCAGAGGTCATGACATTTGCTCATTGCCTGCATGGATGTCCGTTCGCTCAGGCGGGCACTCTAGCTTCTCACACAACTTTGGTGTGCACAGCTCCTCAACACGGAGCTGTTGAGTGTGTTGACCGATGTCCCATGCGATGCTGCGAGCGGGAGTAGTGCGCTCGGCATTGAATGGTCAACTCTCAGGCTGCCCAACGCTTTCTCTCCTGCGAAAGGCGTATGTCAAAGAAGGCATGCACCAGCGAAATGGCGAGCCTCAGAAAAAAAGCAAGGTTGGCAAGACCTGTTTGGAGATCCTCTCAGGGTGGCTGACAAGACTAAGTCAGCGGCAAGCCATAAATCACAGCATTCCTTGGTGAAGGCTTGGAGCAATCAAATTTACAGAGACATACAGAGACTGATTCTTCCTTGTGATCACCTTTGGTCCTGCTCGGTGCGCTCAGAAAAACAGATCTATGAAACACAGATATTACCTCAGGGAATAGTTTTCATTACCTTCTTGGGAACCTGGTTTCATCTTGGGAATATTTCAGCCGGACAACACGGCGCCGGTCGCACCCTTCGCTACATCGCCCACCTGATCCCGCGGCGGCCTCGGCGGGTCTCGTCTCGGGTTGAGGCTCCAGCTGTTGCCACACGGTCTCCGGGCTTTCCTGGCATCACATCGGTCATTCACATCGGTATGGGCTCGGAACGCGGCGGATCCCCCTGATCGGTTGATCTACACACTTCTTGGAGGATGGTTTTGACCCGCCATGTCTGTCCAGGCTCGCATGCTTGACAGTGCTTGATGTGAACTGGAGAGGTTGCTTTTCGAGAGTCATCAAGCCTAATCGCTGGAATTTCTCTTTACGAACGTTTGGCTCTATGTTCTCAACAAATACTGTTTGTGCAAACATCTTTGGCCAGATCACAATAATTGCATTGCTGCTTTTCGTCCGCGCTGCCACTTGGAATGTCAACGGCTGATGGGTCTGGGTCAACTTCAGATTAAAAAGGCTGCTAAGATTGCCGGCATCCTCACGAATCCCACCTCTATTCCGATGTCAGAATTGCATGCTTGCTAAAACAAAGATATGCAAAGGTCATGAGACAATAAAGTATATTTGTCCGAAAGACACTCTGTTCCCAAATATGAACAATTCTCATTCTAGCCCTATCTGACGACGGTTGCACAAGGAGCAGGGTGCCAGAGGGTGCTGCAAGGGAAATTGAACGGACAACAGCTTGAAAACCCTTGGAATGCGGGACCAAACACCAAGGCCACACTAGCTTCCTTCGAATTGCCCCACTACCGTATGCTGTGGTCGTGACCGAAGTGACTTTATAAACTCAAGTTTGCTTCTTTGTGACTACAAACCCCAGAAGTTGTGAAAACAATATCTAATGCCATCTGAATTTCCGCAGCTGGCGGATATCATCTGAAGCTGCTGTGAAGAGCTTGCTGTGAATCCCCAGGCGCAGCTAGACTCGACTTTGCAATCTTTGCATGAAGCCTCCGGTCACAAGAATCAACCCCTTGGGCTTCTCCGTAAAACTATCGGCCGCAGTCGGCCATGTTCCTTCGAAAGCAAGGCCACAAAATCTTAAGAAACAACTCGTTGGAAGCTCTAACGTACTCGATATGTTCGTTCCCCAATCTCATCCTTCCAAATCTCTTGAGGGGACTTTTCAGGGTTGAGGTTGACATTGATGGATTCATCTCTGTCTGATGTGATGGGTATAGTTCCCTGATGCTATGCTCGCTGCAGGAACATCGGAAGACGAAAAGCTTGCCCCGCCGAGCGGACTCAGCTGTGGCGATCGTGTATGATCTCACCTCCGCGATCGTTGCATCACGCGCGGCGACATGCCCACTGAATCAAACAACCAAAAATCCTCTGGTGGCAATGGAGGAGGATCTATCCGGGCTGAGCTCTTTTCAGTCAAGTACCCTGCACTCACAACTATGATCACATGCATTGCGATGTTCTGAAGGTGCTACTTGATACCTGAGTGAAAGATGGCTCTCATTGGAGAACAAAAGACTCTGAGACTGGAAAACAATCGGGAACTTGGTCAGGATGGGACCAGGGGACTGTCTCCCAAACTTCTCATTTTCAGACTTCTGAAGCTTAACACTGCATGCGCACAAATCGATTACGCCTGGCAAGTGCGCACGAATCTCCTCACTCGAGGCCCATCATGTCGAACCTGGGGGCGTTCGCGGATGGAGCTGCTGGTGTTTCAACCGAAGGCAGTGTCTTCAAGATCCCAAACACATGGAAGCACCCCAGAAACCAAAGGCTCGCTTGAAGTCGCTTTATTTTTTCCGAGAAGCCAATAGGTCTTGAAGCGGGGCATCAGCACCGCCAAGATCGCACCACTGCCGCCCAGGTGAACCATCTTGGGTCCAACACCAGCATAGAGGCCACCTGGAGGATTACACCCGGAAAGATTAACATGGAACCTTTGGAAGACGATTTTCCTCTACAACCCAGTGGTTTTCAGGTTCCATGTTAATCTTCCAGGGCGTACACAAGTTCTTCCATCAGCCAAACGGAGAGTTTTCCACTCTTCCGCCAAAAACAAACGATGTTGGCAAGTGGTGTTACATTTTGATCAACTCACCAAATCAGCTAAGCTCCATGAGCTCTAGGCTTCTGGCCGATGCCTTTAGTTGATGCCAGGTTGGCCGCCTGGGAGAAGGAACATAGAAGAACTGAGACAAAAAACCTTGACATCGACATCCCAAAGCGAAAGCAGTTTGAGATCAACCTCAAGTGGGTTTCGACTTTGCAAGTAAGTCTATTCGGACATTGAGACATCGTCTTTGTCAGCATATGTCAAGACCCTTGAGACCTTGCTACATAAAGTACCTGTGCTCGTGGCCGGGCCCTATTCCCGCGTACGGGCCGGGCTGTGCATGTTCACTAGACTACGTGTCCAAGCCTGGGTGAAATTCTGTCAACATGAAAGGCCCACAGAAAAAGAAGGTCACTAAGAATGCCGTTGCTAATGATGTTGTTCAGACCAGTTTACCTGAGGTTCAGTGTCTTCAACTTGCACATACCACATTGTCCACATTGTACGATCTTGCAAAGAATGTGTCTTTATAACCGTTATAAATCTAAATAGAATAGAAGAAGGAAAAAAACCATATATAGAGAGAGAGAGAGATTAAAAGAACTGGAACTTCTCCTCACAGTTTCCAGTTAAGTTGAGTTTGCATCTCTCGCCTCCGCAAAGAAGGGTCCAGGGTTGTAGGGCGCCAAAGCGCTGGGTCGTGGAATGCTGGGGTCGAAGGTGTCGGCCAGGGCCTCGGGAGAACAAAAACAAGGAGTTTTTCTCCCAGCCGCAGAGTATCTCAGAGTGCTGGAAATCTGACGGTTTTTTTCGGTCAAGTGCCTTGGGCTCTTGGAATGAGCTTGAAAATACTACCAAAGCTGGGGTTGCTCATCAAAGAAAATCAGCTCCTCATCCCATCAACATCTCATCAGCTCCTTTGGGGCATCTCTCTGTGCCTTCTTCTGGACAATGGATCGGCAGACCTCGCTGTTTTGGCGCATTGCAGACATGACGTGGCATGAATCTTCAACTGCCCACGTAGCACACAGTCGATGAGCGAGATCGCAACACATTGCCATAAATGGCACATGCTCATAGCTGATATCGCTGTATAATCCTGCACATATATCCTTTCTCATCTATGTCATCTTTCTATATATTGCCCATGCAGTATGATGCAGTATGTTTAAATAAATAGTATGCTGTCCAGTGGATACGGTTCGTCGACATATGTCATGTCTTGGCCAAGCGGCATCAGTCCAGCAATTCATGGCTGTGCCCGTGGCGCCCGCCGCAAAGCCAGACAGAACATCCTGAAAAAACAAGCTGTCAAAGTCAGTGAAGTGGTTGAGATCAGAAAATGAGTGTGAGACATGTATTATATATATAATGCAAAAGCCACAGAACTACCCTGACTTGAAACTAGAGGGATTTGGAAGGATGAACGTGATCACCTAGTTGGGAAACATCAAGCTTCCAGCTCGCCTGTGCCAGCTTGTTTGACACGACGTTGGAGACCTAATGGCACATCCAAGAAAGCCGCACATTGATGCGCTGGGACCGGCGCCCAGTATGACAAGTTGGGACCTGCAACTCTCACACTGAGAGTTCACACCGCGCCCTTGTAGACATCCAAGGTCAAGAAGAAGCCGCCAGTCCACAAACACTGTCGGACCTGCCAGGGCTACAGAGCTTTGAGGCTCTGTGCGTTCAGTCTGCAACCCCTTTTGCGGCGCAATTTGCTTTTTTTTCCCAGAGGTGCCAATATTACTAGTGTCCAATCTTCCGGATCTTCATCAACTCTATTCGCTGACTATCTGATGCTTGTATATATATATATACTATATATAATGACTTCCTTTGATGGGCTGAGTCTACAAAATACGGTTTGCAGAAGTAGGCAGCTTCCAGCACTCACGCTCTTGAGAGGAGGGGAAGCTTCAAGGAGTAGGGTAAAGCGCGGTCACACACAGCGAGAGGATGTGCGGGCGACCTTTGCATGCGTGCTTTAATCAGTGTTACACCGCCCGTGTTCATGACTCTTCTGATCTCTGGTCTTTAGATGTGTTAGCATGTCTCCAGACACAAGAAGTCGATGTCTTTACCGCGGAAACATCCCACCTGCATGCCAGCATAGCCAATCATCAAACCGCCAAAGCCTCGAGTCTTCCAGATGTGCTTGGCAATGTCCGCCTCGGACGCGAGAGAGCGCAGTTCGAGCCGAGCAGCAGTTCGAGCCGCAGTCCGGCGGGTCTGCAATTGCACCCCGAACCAACAGTCCATGTTTAACATCATTTCACCATATCTCACTTGTTTGCTGCTAAATGTTCTTTGGGATTCATTTTTGCACTACCCTGTGATTCTGGAGTACAATTCTAGTAGATTCAGGCGTTTGCATCATGCCTTCAAGCTCACCATGTCATTGCCTCACTCTCTCAAGTCCAGGTATGAATAATCTTTCTCTGAGGCCGGATCAGATCCGTTAAACCTTCCCTCCTTGTCCAATTGTGCGGCAAGCTTGATGTTCCTTATTACCACAGAAATACGTTGACATGTCTTTGCACAAGAGATGCTTCTCCGTGACAAGAATCCTTGACTCGACTTTGCACGGTATCTCGTGGATGTCATGAGTCCACAACCGGATTGAAGCGACCAGTGTACTCAATCCAGCCAAGCCACTCCAAGGGAGAAATTGCTAACACCTGCCAAAACGGGCGCTGACAAACGGCGCATTCCTCCTTCCTTCCCCCACGAACCGTCTCCGACACCCTGGTGTCATTTGATCAAGAAAACACGAAATGGCTGCCAACAACTTGAGACACAACACATTACCAAAAGGTGAAAATGACCCGATAATCACTCCAATTCTGTGTAATTATAAACAAATGATTTGCACTCTCTCACACTCTCTCTCTCTCTCTCTCGCTCCAGTGGTGAAGGGATATATGTCACGTTCCTGTAAACGAATTCACCATTCAACTGTCTATCTCTGACGCAGATCCGCCGCTGCACGCTCCCACCTCTGGCACCGTGCCAATGGCTCCTGCCAAGCCCTTGCTGACAGGGCTGCCCTTGGTCTCAGGGACGCCGTAGAGGCTCTTGTGCACCTGACCATCCGGAATTTCACGTGGACGAGAACTGTCGACTTTCGATGAGCTGAGGCCGGGACAATTGGTTGCATAAAGAACCTGAGGTGTTGGGCGCTGAAAGCTTGATTTGGCCATAAAGCCTTGAGAGTCCTGGTAATTCTTTGTGGTCATAAAATTCTCAGAGAGCGTGCAAATGAAGCGCATTTTGAATTTCTAAAAAGCAGCCGCTTGCAGCTGCTCAAGTGGCTGCAAGTGGCTGCGCAAGTGGCTGCGCACTGCAAGTGGCTGCGCGCTCGAGTGGCTGCTTGTGCTCGAGTGGCTGCCTGCACCCAAGGAGCAACTCGCTGCACGAGAAGTTTGGCTTCCGCGAAGGAGTCTTTGAACCGAACACACAGTCCGTGGACACTTGGGCGCTGGCCATTTCAGGATGAAATAGGTCCGCAACAGGTCTCGTTTGCGCTGTAGTTAAGGCTTCAAGTCTGGATGTCTGGGTGTGAGCGCGGACGAAGGACTAAGGCAACTAAATCTTTAAAGCGCAGGTGAGCTGCGCAGGCACGCGGAATCTAATCCTGCCTGCCACGGAATGTGATCAGGGTAGGGCAACAAGTCATTTGATTGGAATTGTGCCGAGGCACGTGTTTGTTCGTGCCTTTGCGCCGCCTCTGCAGCAACCATCCAGTCATGACGACTTGCAAAGAAGTCGATACACCGAGGCTGTGCAGCGCATTCCTGGCCCCAGCAGGTGGTCCGCAACATGTCATTGTAGGACTGGCGCGCTGCATCCAATATGCGCAACATTGTCTGCGGGCAAACTACCTGCGTTTTGCGTACAGCGTCGTTTTTGTATGGTTGCTGCTCATGGGGCTTCATTCCGACCATAGACCTCTAGAACACATGCAACAGCATCCCAGTATTTGTTATTGGACCACACAATTTGATTGCGAGGGCTGGTAGGAATATACCTCGAAAACAGTCAGTGGCAGTGGCTGCTATCCTTGCGGCAGCAGTACCAGGTCGTCCTGTGTAGCAGCCGGTCCCATTCTGGACTCCCTCCGATGATGGGCAATGCCAGGAGAAGGTGCAGCGCTTGTTTCGCTCTGCTGAGAGGCCAACAGAGATCTTCCCCACGTCAGTGAGCGCTCCTACAGCCATGCGCTCACCGGCCCCTTCGCCTGGCGGCAAGTCAAGATGCGGACGTCGATGCACTGCAGTCTCACCTTAAGGAACTCTCGCAGCGCCGCATGGAAGACCAGCGCGGCAACATCGTCATAGTTGCCGCGGAGGCACGATGCGAGGCGCTCCACAGCACCAAAGGATTGTTCGCTGTAGACGCCTCCAGTCCCCGCTGAGTGGTGTTGGACAAAGTGGCACCTAGGAGGATTGGGTTGGACTGGGGCAATGTAGCCGCTAGACTATGTGGACAAGGTCTTGACCTTCAAGACAACAAGTTGTTGTTTCACACAGGGCTGTTCCCAAACACGTCACAATCTGAATGTAAGACGGAAGCTATGAAAAAAGGGGGGGTATAGAATGGATGCAAACATTGCTCGTCCAGGGTCGCACAGGGAGCCCTTTGCTTCGAGTCGACCTTATTGCAACTGAAACAGCAAGATTCCCACATCTTCCGGTCTAGAATCAAACCTGGTGCGCTCGGGTTCCCGCTGGAGGCACGTGTCAGGAACCTTCCAGACTCGCAAGTCACTGTGATCCACAACACTGGCCAGGAGATTCGCGCGATGTGTCAGGTGGAGTGGCAGCCCGCAGTGGGACAGTGTGACTGTGTGACTCGTCTGCACTTCACGTTGGAGAAACTGTAAGACCCAATGTGTATCCATTTTGCACACGCATGTTGCATTCGTTGCCACAAAGGATGCGAGATTACGCGCTATAGATCGTGTGTCAGGATTTACACATACAATGCCGGAAAGACAAACCGACCATCGATTCTGATTGTTGGGTTCGGAGTGGAGCGAATTGCTTGTCTGAAGTTCATTTATGTGTATGTGCGTTTACCATTCCGGCTGTTCCGTCGAACCGTGCGGTTGCGCCTGCAACAAGCTCCTTCTGTCAGGATAATAATCTGTTGCTCTTCGTCCAACTGGCGGCCTGTGTCGCCTGCTGGGCGCATGTATTGCCCTGCGTCCAACAATGCCAGCATGTGCTGGAAAGCACTTGATGTTGCCAGGAACTTGCCCGCATCCTGTCGTTCACCTCATCGCAGTCCTCCCAGGGTCTGAACACTGGGTGTGTATATCAATGTTTCGTTCGTTTTCTTGGTTTTTAATTCATTTTGCGCCGACGCGCGTGTCCTGTCTCCAGAGAGGAACCGCAGAAGATAGCTGCGCGTGGTGACCAGCACCTTGCGGTTCTCCAGTGAGTTTCTGTCTGATAAAACAATCGGAAGATTGCAGTGTGATGCTGCGTCAGGAGGTCTTGTTGCTGTACAGCGCTCAAGTTGGGTCTGCCAAGCTCTGTGAGCAGACGTTGGATCTCCCTTGCTTGACCTGGCTGGGTTTCTGATGTTTCACATTTTGGACCAGATGTTGTTACCCGTGCGCTCCGCTGCCTGTTTCACACGTTCAAAAGAAGTTAGCACTTCTTTGGACCTTGGGATGAACCACTCAGTACCCAAAATTTTGGCACCCCAGGATCATTGATGCGCTACAATGCGCTTCTAGTTTCGGTTCACAAGCTGGCCTGGACGCTGCAGTTCATGAAGAGCAAAGAGCTGTTCGGAGAGCAAATCCTGCTGATCGACTGAAGTGGCCATTCGGAGGCTGCCGACGCCCACAAAGCCTTTGTCGGAGCAGCCAGCACAAGTCGACCCTGTAGATCTGGCTCTTGAGTCCTCGGTGGCTTTGCAATGCACGCTGACTCCGGTGAGGACGGAACCCAGAACCTTGCGCACGCTATCCCTCCACTCACGCGGACTGGAAGCAACACGCAAGAACAAAAAATATTGCGTCGAGGTACAGGCTTCGCAGCATTGCTAGAGCGAATTGGCTCTCGCCACACCCGGGGCCCGCATCAACATAGGCAATGCGGCATCGCCTGTCATCGGCTAGAGTTTCCAGAGCCTGCTTTACATCTGGGGGGTGATGGTGCATTGCATGCCCGCGCAGTAGTTTCGATGCCGCCGGCTAAGAACGGTGCCTCCTCTAAGGCTGATCAAGGGCTGCCCTATTCACGTATGTTGGTTTTTGACGGCTGTATCGGTCTGAAACCAATTAGAAGTAACGTAACATTCGAACAACCTCAGAAATGATGGTCCGGTTGAGATCCCAAACAGCAGGTGTAATTCTATGACTGGCCTCGGCTGCAGGCTCGGCAATGCTCCGCTCGTCCGGTTGCAAGAAGAAGATATCGGTGTCATCGTTGCCTAGCAGGCACTTCCACAAAACAGGCTCCGCAGCTCGACGCAGGATGTTCCACGCCCAACCGTCTTGGTGACAGGGCTGCAATATGAGCGTGACAGCGCTGGCAGGATTCTGTGACAGGTGCGGATTGGGAGGCAGCTTGTACTTTGCATTGTCAACCGAGGACGAAGCAACGCACGCCGGCCTGCTTTCCAAGGAGGGATCATCCTGTTCGAGGAAGGTCTGCAGGCTTTCCTGCAAGATCGACCAAACCAGGTAGCGCTTGTAGTACGACCCCGGCAAGTGGTCTGCGGCTGCATGGGCAAGAGCAAGTCCGTCTGGATGGAGGATGACTTTCACAACATCTTGCACGCCACCGATCCGTAAGGACCATTTTGCTCTGTCTCGCTCATGACACATGACCGCACGCAGCAGCGCTTTCAACCTGATGCTTCACACAGTGTGGGCACTTTGATTTCTGTAAAGACGCAGACCAATGAGAACCTCATTTTGCACCTAGGGTCTCGCTGGGAGCCCTGTCTCCCAAAGGAAAAAAGTCCAAAGGTCAAAGCATTTTCCTGGATAGCAATAGCTATCTCTGCTACCAGTGCTGCTGCCCTGTCTTCGCCACTTGACTGCCCACTACTCCTTTGTTTTGTTGGGGGGGGGCACTTAGTGTTGAGGAACAGGGCTTACTCTGTCTGCACTCAAGCTGCGAGCTCGTGAGGAGGTGCTTGATACGCAGCTGCACAGGTGGTATTGGACAATCCTCGCTAATGTAGCTGGCGAAACTTGCACGCAAGATATCGTCTTTGTCGGGTTCTTGGAAGATTGCCAAGGGAGCCCAGGCAAGGCTGCGCTGCAGTGTGCGAGGATTCTGCCGAACTTGAATCACAGACAACATTGCCCTCTTTGCAGGGAGAATCCGTTTCCGAAATCTGGCTGGAAAGTCCTGCTTTCGCAAAGTCATCTCCGAAAAGGCAGATCACAGCCACAGCTCTTAAGTGGATACGTCACATGAGCAAAGTGTGCAAGTTTGAAGAAAGCAGGGGTTGTCGAAATACAAGGGACAGTAGGTTCAATATTTTGTTTTGCAATTACCACATTCTCCTGCACAACCAGCGCGGCCGCGGCTGTGCGCAAGGCTTCGAGCATGTCCATGGTGAGATCATGGAGGTGGCTGCAGTCCGCATGCACCTCACGTCCGTGTCTGTTCATGAACTGGAATCTTCAGATTCATCATGAAGTCTTTCTATAAGAAAACAACACCCAATCTTGACCGGCAGCAAAGGCGAATGTATGCAGGGTTTAAGGGGTCTATCTAGGCAAAGGTGACATACCAGGTGCATTTCTTACAGAAAATGACGCACACATGTGGCACACCTCTCTTCACGGTTGTTTTTCGAGGCACTGGCACTTCAGCAGTCACTGCTGCTTTGTGAAAATGCCCAGAATGCCGTGGCCCAGTCCAAGCAAAGAGCCGCGCTTCACCCCTGCGTGTGGGCAGCAGGCCTGGATGTCGAAACTGACTAGCCACATAAGGCACGCTTTCGGAGCCTCGACCGAACCCGTCTCCAGTTAGTGGCGCGCTCCGCCAAATAGCTCCCTCTCGGCATCTTCCTTGATACTTGATTGTCTGCGCGTTGAAGTTAAGGACAAGCATGGCGCGGTCGCACCCAACAGCGTGGTGGTTTAGAGTGCCATGTTATGAGCATACCTCAGGGTCCCGCAGGGAGCCCCTTTTAGCTGGATGATCTGAAACAGCCTTTCTTGGACTTGTGTCAGAACTACCTGTGAGGTGGCTGATTTTTTTGTAAATTCAAAATGTGCGGTTCCTGCGTGCTCAATGAAACTTCTTGTCAACCGGATCCTTTTTGGAAATTGCCCGAAGTGCTTTCTACATTCAAACTCACTCAGAGCCACCGTGACACTTCGGCCGCTAGTGCGCCGCATTGAGGCCGAAGCTTGATGGCTCGGGAGATCGAAGCCCTGGTGACTTCCGCCACAAGGCCTTGCTTCACGAAGCCCATGATTCCATGTGCCTGGTGAAGCGGCAAGCGCCCAGACGCGCGGCCAGTCGGACTGGACCGTGAACATATAATCGAGATAATATAACTATAGTATATGATTATACAAGTGATTATATATATATGTAAAGAGAGAGAGAGTGATGATAGGTTATCTTAGATCTACCTTCCAGCAACTGCACAAAAGCAGTGCACTCCAACAGCTTTTGACAACCCGATGGTGTTGACTCACTGCGAGCGTTGTGTGTTGACTCAGCACGTGCGGTTCTCAAGTCTCCAGACTCCAAATCCCTTCGCTTTCGACGCAGACTTGAGAACCTCAAGGATCCCCAACCACCGCACCATCCGAAAAAGAAATGCAAACCTGCTTGCAAACCCCCCTGCTTTTGCTTGCTTGCTTGGATATACTTGGATGCTTGCTAGGTGAAACATCTCAACAGCACTTGCTGGCGAGGGAGAAGATTGCTGTTCTGGCTTTAGAATGCTACTTACACTTTGAAACCACTTGCAATCATCTCTACCCCGGCAGCCCCGCCTCCAAAAATCCTTTCAGAGCTTCTCCCGCGCCAGTTCCTGGATTTGACATGCCTGAGGACCGTGAACCGATCCCGCTCAAATCCTGAAAACCATTGACGAAAATCGGCTGGGCCTCTACCGGGACCACGGAACGAGACACGGCGAACAGAGTTCGACGAAAAATCGCGTGAAATCCCTTGGTTCAAAATGTTCGAACTGCAACAGAGTCTAACTTCTGCGTGAAAACTCGTGCGATGCAAGTGGCAAATAGCGCGGACCACGTCCACTGGATACATAGCCTGGGTGTGAGGAAGTGACGTCTGCACCAACTCATGTGGTGGTCCTAAAACAAACACGGAAATGAAATATGTCGTAATATGTCGTTTATATCTTTAGATTGTTTTATCTTGTTGCATGTGATGCTTTTCGAAGAAATCCTTGGTCGACTTCAACTCGCTTCTGTCTTGAAACTGGAAAGCTTCTGTCTAAAATCTATCCGAACTGTCCGTCCAGCAGTGATCAAGGGGGTGTCTGCCTTCTTCCCTATGCCCCAATGTCATCTCCATGACATTCCCGAAGCATACCCAAGGTGCGACTAGCAATCTAGAACACAGTACCAGGTACTGTGTTCTAGATTGCTAGTTACCAAACGTCCATCCACAAGCTTCCACTCGCAAAAATGGTACAAGTAGGCATCGATAGTCCGAGACTGGTTGCCACAACCCTTGACTAATTGCATCATATTGCATCCAATTACAGAACTTTGTTGGGTTGTGTCTTACATTTTCACAAAAAAGGCACTGCCTTTCAAAATGGGAGGTGCCTTCCCCCCCTCTCCCATCCTCTCCCCTCTCCCCGGTCTCCGGCCCGCTCTCCGTACGGCCGGACGAACGGAAGCGGTTTTGTCACGCTAAGCTCAGCCGTGGCAACGATCGAAGTGACCACCGCTCCAGCGCAGATGGGCGGGAGAGTGTCGAGAGGACCTGCCTTCCTCTTGGGCGTCGACATGATCCTCGACCATCACGGTCGAGTTCCGTTTTTTGCGGGCCGATGTTGGTGGGCGCACGAAGGAAAACGACCATCTGAGTACCGATCATTTTACGAGTCGACCGATCGAAATGCAGTGGGTGTTACAAGAAACGACCGAGGCTCTGAGTGCCAGTCTTGGATGAACGAAGTGAAGCAAAACTGTCCCTTTGAGCTACAAATGCGCTGCGGCCGGCGGCATCCGTCTTCGAAAGAATCAGAGGGAATCAGAGAGAATCCGCTGCTCGAAAAGCGTTTTGACCTGGACCCTCCCAGGGGGTCCACGCAGGAACTCTCTGCCAAGTCGTGAAATGCATTGCTGCATAACAATTGATCGAATATGATTCATATGATCGAACTAAGTTCCCAGGGCCTCATTTCTAAACAAAAGGTTGGACTCGAGTGACTCGAGAGCGGATGAGAGCGGTCTACCCAACAAGTAAGGATGCGAACGAGACAGCCTATGCGCCAGCCAGCGCATCTGAACCTATGAAGTTTTCAGCCTCTGTCACGTGCAGCTCTAAAAATGGAGTCTCCGGAGGGACAGTCCTTCATAGTCAGTCCTTCCTTCCCTCCTTTCATCGCATCCGTCTCGCTCTCGCCTCCCGTGGTTCCTCTAGCAGAGAACCACCGTGATGCACCTGTGGTCGAGTGGAGATCATCGCCATCGAAATCACAGCTTCCCTAGGTCGCCACTTAACCTATAAGTCGGGTATCAAGAAAAAGACAACATGGTCAGCAATCGTCCCCAAACTGAGATAACATCTACCGTACCCAAAAGAGAGTTGAAGCCTAGAATACACAAGGCATCGGCAAAAAGTTGGGAACCAAGGCGATAGCTCCAAGCGCATAGACGAGCATGCCATCGTGTCCGGGGGTCTGTCATTGTCGCTTTAAATACATATAGTTTAATATGCCGACTTCTTTTTTTTTGGAGGAAAATATCTTCGCTCCTTCAATCTGCGCGTGCATCCATGTGTGATCTCACTCTTGGCACCTGTGTGCTCATGCTATCATATGCCACTCACCAATATCATCGATCGTGCCAACTCCCCCAAAACCGGTGCAGTGCCCACCGTGGCTCGTATCGGCGGAGCCGGTGGACGGGATGTCCCGCTTGGGCTCGGTCTCCCGTTGGAAGAGTTGAGAAGCACTTGAATAGACCGTTCGTAGCGTCCGATCGCCCCGTTCGTCACGATGCCCTTGTTACGTTCGTAGCGTCCTTGCTACCAGTAGAAATGCCGTTTGCTCCTAGTAGCCTTGGGAACCCGGAAACTTGGTCAACAAAAGGACCTTTTTGTTGAGAAGGGCTCTCCAAGATCGCTTCGTGGAGATTCCAAAGTTTGTCAACAAACACTCAAAAGAGAACAAAAGCGTCTTTCCAACCTGAAATCCCAAAAATCAAACCCATAAATCCATCAACATATTCCAAATCAGAAGGAAATCCACAAAATCTCCAGGCCATCTCAAGGCCATCACCAGGCCCCCCTCCTGTTTGCCTCTCCGATCCCTCGATAGCCAGCGAGGTAGGGCGCCCACCTCGAAGGGGCGAAACCCCGGTCGACTGGCAAACAGCCGGTCAAACGGTGTCAAGAAAAGGCTCAAACAGAAAGACAGTCAATATAGACATATAGTATACATATATTATATATAATGTGTATAGTATATGCATATAACATCATATGATAGTATAATACAGTGTGTACATATATACATAGTACCGTGCGCATGTCTATCCGACAATCATTTAATGAAAACCGAACAAACCCTGCAAGTGTAGATCTTCAAGCATTCTTCTGGTTTGGAAAGTACCTGAGAGCTGTTGAAGAAGTGAAGAAGTTTACTTTAGGGTGGAGGCCATCGCAAGTAGGTTGGAGGCCATCGCTACTAAGCTAGTGTTCACACCTTTTGAGGGAACCAGATTTTGTTTCGCCTAACTGCGCTCTTCTGCCAGGGCAGTTTAATCCAAGGGCTCCGTACTCTCGCTTGGTATCTTGCGGAGCACCTGAGCTTCTCAAGCCCAATTTGCACAGCTTAAAAGCAAAATTTGTCTAAGGGAAGGTTCTGAAGACTTCTGGTTCTGCATTTCTAGCGTTTCTCACACAAAAGTCAACTAGATTAACCGCACGAGTTGGAGAACCGCTTCAGCCGCACGTATCACAGATCCAGTACCTGCAGATAACATCAAATAGCCAAGGCAGGTGCCCCACGAATTGTAGGCATGCTGCGGAGCTTCTTCTCTGTAGCAAATCTCCTATGCAAAGCCAGCGTGACTTCAGCGTGATGGTTCTTGCGTTTGTTCAAGAAGTAAGGTTGTTGTCTCAGGCAAAGGGTGCAGCAATGAAGGCCAAATGGCTTATCTCACTCCGACTTGGCTTCTAATGGCCCAAAAGGTGCAAACCTGAGAACTCCTTGTTGTGCCTGAGCCTCGTGACCCCTAGAGTTAGAAGTACCATCAGGCTTGAAATCACAAACCTTCCTTCATCTGCTTCATTTCGCTGGGTCTCCCCCCCCGATTTCGGAACAAACCCAAGGGGGGTGACCTTTTCTTTTGGGGGGCAGGTTCTTTTCAAGAGAGGTACGGTGAAGCACCCCTCATCGCTCACGTGAGTCACATGGATCATTTCGAGAACCCGTGCACCAAACCAAACCCACCCCACCCAAACCGAAGAAGGGACGCCGGGGACCTTCGTTAGGTCGTCGACCTCGCTCCCTCGTCCTTGGCAAAGCCGAGGAACTTCTTGCAAAGGTCCAAAAGACCCAATTCTCGGAGCACCGGCATAGCGAGACCTCGCATTTGCTTTTCGAACGTCCGGGCACGGTCCGGCTCCGAGAGCGGCGAGAGATTGTCCGTGGTTCAGTCAAAAAATGGGTGTGTGTTTCTTTCGGCTCTCAGGCATCTGAAAAAGCACAAAAACCGAGGCGAGGAAATGCTGCGACCCTTCTTTAGTATATCATGAACACACTGCGGCAAGGGGACCATCCAGCAAAAATGCAACAAAAGCATCCAAGAACAGGCTTACCACACTGAGTGCCCCCTGCATTCATCCAGTAGCCGACAGACCCGCGAATCTCGCGTCGAGGGGCTGAAGGGCCTGAAGATCAGGGCGGTGTGAGGTCAGTCGCTTCAGCATAATTTCATCTGGTGAATTGATTTCTTGAGGTTTCCGATTCTGCAAGAGATGACCATGAAAGGTTGGTCGTTTATTCTGAATGGTCAGCCATTGTCAGCGTCATTCACCCATGTCCAACCGGCATTGCTACTCGGCACCCTGACCCCAGTGGCAAGCCCAAGGACAAGGCGGCCAAAAAACCGCCGCAGTCCTCGCACCGTTGGTGACGTCGGTTTTGACGCGGAGCGGAACAGGACGAAACATGACGAGTGTGGAAGTCCCTCAAGAAATTCAACCGCTATTCCGGCTATTCCCTATGGCAATGGCCTCTAACCTAGCGATGGCTTCCAACCTAAGAGCGATGTCCCTCAAAGACAGTTCAGCTCTTGTCCGATTCAGTCAGATCCTCTTTAAGTCTTTGCAATCATCAACCATGGTTGATTCACACTCATCTGAGCCACCAATTTCCATGACAGGTCCAACCACTCGGAGCCAAAGTCGGTCCTCCGATTGGTTCATGGCCAAAGTCATTGCCGCCCGCATCAAGACTTGCTGAAACTCCACAGGCAGGGTGAGATTGTTGCACCTGGCCAAGCGGCCCACAATCTTGCTTGGAACCGCCAGAAGGAAAATTCCAACTACATCAAACTGCCGACCTGTCAATGTATCAAAAGGTATCAGTTCAGGGAGCCGCGATGTCGCCCACTTGTTCCTAGAAGAGAATTCTGCCGGATGGACCATTGCTTCCAGTAGTTCACCGTCTTCGTTTCAAACCTGCCATACGGTGATAGCTGATTGGGACTTTCTTCCCTACACCTGTTTCATACAGTGCAGGACTGCCCAACTTTCGTGGCTTACCAAAGAAAGGACCAGGTTGAGATCTTCAAAGCATGCACCTGGAAACAAGAATGCCACTAATTAGGAACAAAGGGCATCGCTACTAGTAACAAGAAGCTACTAGGAACAAGGGATTCCCAAGTGATTCCGAAGATTGGGCACCCCACTCCAATGCCACCTGTGACAAAGAGTTCCTGAGTCCAAAGCAAACTGCAGGAGGTTGTTAAGTTGTCGAGATGACAAAAGCAACCTTATTAATAACATTCCTGGAAGCACATTGTCCTCCAAGGATGCATGGTGGCAGGTCTTGAAATCGTTGCAATCAGGCACAGCGACTCCGACTAGCAAAATAGATAAGAAGCTCAACCAAATAGCTCTTGCTGTTTTGGCTTGGAATCTTCCCACCACTGCCCAGTATATCTTGACCCACTGCGACCAAGGTGTTTTATGTACTTTGATCTTCAAAAAGCTGTCTTTGTGACCTTTGGTCCGTCATCGTCCCTCGTGTCCCGAGGTCGGCGCGTGAAGGACTCGTCGCTACCGAAGACAATGATGACCTCATCATCCACTGGTCCGCTGAGGTGCCAGTCCAACAGCGGCAGTCCAACGCCCAGGGCATCAGAGAAGAACGACAGTTCTCTGATAGAAATGACTTTTGGTGTATATTCACCAAGTCATGAGAACCAGGGCCCTTGAAGCTCTTTGGACTCGCGGAGTTTACGAGGAGTTTGTCGGATCCGTGGTCGGAAGTTCATCTACCCCGCAGCGCAGTCATTGGAAGTTCATCTATATACCCTTCTTGACAATATCTCCGCAATGGTCTTGATAAGACAAGCCCACCCGACATCTGCGCAGTCATTGGAAGTTGATTGCTTCCTAGAGTTATGACGTACCAAACAGCCTAACTCTGAAATCTCAAGGATTCATTTAAAAAAATGCAAAAAATGCAAAACCACACTCACATATGATGACCAGGAAATGCAAAAGAAATGCATTTTAAAAAAAAGCAAAAAAAAGGCAGCTGGTCAAAAAGAGTGCATATCAAAAAGCAAAAAAACTGCAAAAGGAAGCCAAAAAATTGCAAACAAAACGCAAAACAACAGTTAAAAAGACGCAAAACAAAAGCGAACAAAACGCACAAAAAATGCACATGCACAACCAAATTTCACACACCACCTTTTTTGTGCGATGTTTTTTCGATGTTTGTGCGTTTTATGTGCGATTCTTTTTTGCAGGTTTTGCGTTTTTTGCGAGTTTTTTTTGCGTTTTCTCAAGGAAACGCACAAAAAATGCAAACAAAACGCAAATACAAAGCAAAAAATTGCAAAGGCAAAGACCAGAACGGTTTTGATCGCATGTGTTTTGCTTTTTGATTGCATTTGTGTTGCATTGTTTGTGCATTTGTTTTTGCATTGTTGTGCATTTTTGGTGCATTTTTGTTGCATTGTTTGTGCATGTGTTTGTATTTGTTAAGTGGACAAATGTGTTGTTTTTTCGCATTTTGTTTGCTCTTTTTTGCATTCCAAGGCATCCTTTGGTGACTTGTTTTTGCGTTTTATGTGCATTTTTTTCGGGATTGGTTTTGCATGTTTTTGCATTGTTTATGCATTGTTTTTGTTTTGCTG